TWKKWTTTMMMGGSRTTTTTGAAAGATGGCCTTTGACAGTCCAGCAGGAAAAACAATCTGCTCTCAACCAGTCATCTGTTATGCCCTCCATGACGTATCCTCTCCCTCCCTCTGACTGCAGGTGAAGTACAGCCCGAGCTGCAAGTTTAAAGAGCGCATCGAGGAAAACGGCTACAACACGTACGCCTCGCTTCGCTGGAAGCACGGCGGCAGACAGATGTTTGTTTCGCTGAACGGACGRGGAAAGCCGCGGCGAGGTCACAAGGCCCGACGGAGACACCCYTCCACTCACTTCCTGCCGATGCTTCCCTCCTAGGCATCATAGTCTGAACTTTTACCGGCGCCTACGTGGTTCACCTGACTTCTCAGACTAGTGCTGGTCTAGTTGTGACAACAATCTTTATCTTTTTTATTTATCCATCTTCTTGTCACGTAATTGGACATTTGTTGAAGTCTGTAATATCTTAGAATTAGATCAATGCCTACTTTTAAGTTATTTTCAGCATTAATGATGGTAATGTAGTATAATGCAGCCCAAAACAGTGAAACTACATAGCATTCATCTGCACTTGTCAGGCTGCAGTATCTAGTGTGTTTGTAAATGGCATCTAAAAAAGGGTTTTTTTGGTGACAATGTAAAACTGTAAGAGAACAGAGAAGGGACAAAAAGGGTTGGAAGCCATTAAGGTTTACAGGTTTATTCTCAAATGACAAAATGAAAGGTAAAGTTGAGATGGCTCCACAGATAAAATTTCCACTCAAAGACGATTCAAATAAGTGAGATAATCAGTTTTCAAATGGATTACTTAATTTTGAGAGTAAAACTGTTTATTCAACCCTACATTCAAAAATAATCTTGACCAAATATCTTTGTTCATCAAAAGCAATATTTAACTGTAATTAAAAAAAAACCACAGACCTCTTTAGTTACATTGGAAAAGGTCAAATATAACAGTTAAAATGTGATAAATGTTGCAACACGAGATGATGTACAAATGATGTGTACGTTTTCATTCATTGGTCCAGTTTTTAATATAAAATAAGAAAAAAACTTCTATTCCTAAAACTAAAAAAGGACTTAGAAAGTAAAAACATTTGGAAACATACTTGGCAGACKGTCCTGGATGGGTACACGTGACAACATTTACACCACACAGACGTTGCTTTCAAACAGATGTGGATGAACTCCTCCTCCTTACCTGATTCTCCAAACTGAGCTTTGTCCGAGTACTGTCTACTGCAGGTRAGATACTGAAAACCTCAAATAATTCCACACAAACCAACTTCAAAAACAGGTCTAAAGTAACTTTGTAACCCTGAAAAAAAAAGTCCTGTATTTTCAGTCGCGTAGGAGAAACTGTCTGAACAAGACACATGTTCCTAAACCCTGAACGGCACCTTAGAGACTCTGTTCTTTATGTCTGTGAGAACCCATCAGAAACTAAACTAATTACTGAGATATTTAGCTGGATTTCCTCAGATCTTCTTCGTACGTTTCTGTARCCGTTCGTCCGTCTTCTCCTCAAACTTGGCAACTCCTAGGAAATAGATTAGTTGAAAACATACTGCCTCTCTGTCAAGACATGCTAACACTAGACAATACAACTGTTGCTAATAGAACATTTAATATATTTAACACTATCCTTGCTCTTTAAATGTGTGAAGATGATGTGTGCAGTTATTGTTGACTTTTATTTTGTTGAACTGTAAAAAAAATGAGTTGTATTCAAACTGTATGGTATTACTACTGGATATTGGTACATTTGTGATACATCTTTAAAGTATGGCTTTCAGTTAATGAACCAATAGGCACGAGTCATTTGAGTGCCTTCGTCTACGATGGGCTTGGTAAACCTGAGTAAAATGTGGATATTTCATGAGTTAGCTTCAAAACASTCTGGGTCATTTTTAGCCATCTCAACATGCTACAGTGTCAGTGTTTCCTGCTATCACTCTCATCTGTTTCTGTGTGTGGTATGGACTGTTTGTAACATCTTCATTTGATCGTGTTGACGTAGCCCCCCTCCTCACCGCGACAGCGGGAGAGGCGTTGACATCGAAGACCTCCTGTCTGACGACAGGTCGGCGGTTATGAACTGCACAACATCGTTTCCACCCAGCGCAGCTCTGCGGTGGCACAGGAGGCCGCTCGGGGCCTTTCAGCAAACAGAAAGAAGAGGCCGGAATGAATAATTGGCTGCTCGGGGTGAATAAAGGCCATCCTTTCAGCCTGTAGGCATGTGAGCCGACTATGACCGGGCGCATGTCACACAGCCTACAGTGAGGAAAGTCACGCTGTAGTTCAGCTTCAAAGGTCACAGTGCAACGCATGAACATCGTTACGGGGGGCTCTGGTAGTGCTGTTGCCCCCAGATGTCTTCATCGGTGTGTTCTTCAACTGGAGGTGTAACTTTCAACAAATAAAGACTACTTTTACCAAACTGAACTGCTCTCATTACTGGTTATTAAATAATAGCAGACAGACAAATAAAATTAAAAAATCATCTCTAATTTATTCACCTCTGAGATTTAGTCAGCACCAAAGATGTGTATCATTAAATATAAAGAATATATACAGTGTATCAGCACAAATGTAGGATTTTCAGAACAAAKAGATGAGTGCTAATTCATAACTCAATTCATTTTCTAGACAGACATGCAGCATAATTTATCACAGGCTTATGGTGTTCAGAACACGCTTTTTACAAGTACTATTTCTGAGCATAATTTTGATTCCTTGTTTTTGTTTATTCTGTCTCATTTTATCAGCATTGTGAATATGTCCTTACTTTCAGACTAACCTTGGTTAAAAAGTTAAATAATGTTGATTGGATTTATATGATCAGTTACATTTAATTATTAAATTCAGTTACTAATAGAAACAAACTTTTGTGATTAAAAGATAACTAAAGAAGTTAAGTGTCAGTTCCTTAGTGAAACATGATGAGAACTGTACAAAAAGATACAGGTCAACAAGTTTATCAACCAACTTCACCAGAAGATCACTGGTTACAACCATAAGTTCCCAGCTGGATCATCTTCCAAGAAGACGCTGAACTGCTGTTTGTTGTACAGTATGTATAAACAGCAGTCAGAGCCTGTCCCGTCACCCAAAGGTGGAGGTGAGCCACCACTGGATCTATCAGTATCTCAAGATCAGAATCTCCAATGTACAGGCACCAAGCCAGGGGGCTATAAGTGGGCCCACACCAGCCTGGTGCTTCTCCCCACAGGCACCTRCAGATTGGAAAAAGAGTCCAGCCTCCCTTGAGGAGACTGGTACCAGATCCAATGTTGTCTGTCAAATTTCCAACTTTAGTCGATATCTCAGTTGTTTTTTGAGCATTCCTTAACTTTCCCAGTCTTTTGTTGCCCCTGTCCTAGCTATGTTTGGAACCTGTTGCAGGCATCATATTTAAAATGAGTAAATATTTGCAAAAAGACAATAAAGTTGATCTATTTGAACATTAAATATCTTGACTTTGTAGTGTATTCAATTGAAACAGATTTGCAAATCAGTGTATTATTCTTTTTTTATGTGTGTTTTACACAATGTCCCAACTTCATTGGAATCAGGTTAGGTAAAAAAAGATTAGGGTCAGACTTTAAAAAAATCTGAATTGTCACATTTAAACTGTCAGACTAGGGTGTGGGGGATTATACAGTATTTATGCCACTTTTGCCTTCAGTGTGAACATAGCCTTAGAGAATAATTAGTAAAAGCTGSAAGAATGCAACTTTTTATAATAAAAAACACAGCTCAGCCTTGTTGAACAGGTGCTTTTGAACATCCAGCTACCATCTGATCGTCTGGTGTAGACACACTGAAACCTGCAGGGCACGGAGTAATCTCATTTTCTGCCTGCCCTCTCGATTTACTCTCCTCTTTGTCTGTGCCCGCCATCTCTTGTCCACCATCCCGTTTCTCTTCTTTTTAAACTGTCCAAGAATCCTTTCTCCCAGTTCTGAGGGTGAGACTGGCTGCTGGTTCCAGCTCCAGGAGCAGCAAATGGGAGCTGTAATTATCATTGCTTTACCACTGTCCTGTCAGTGTGCACTCCAGCTAAGAGAGGGATCCTTTGGAAGTCCCCATCAAAAGCTTTGGCCTTTGATCATGTTGCATAAGGGGGAGAAAAAAAACTGAACCACAAAATTAACAAGGAATGTCCTGAAAAGAGAGAGTTCAGGTGAATGTACATGAGGACCAAACAGAAAACATTCTGATTTTTTTCTGTCATGACTTGTTGAACTATTTGGCCCAATGGTTTGGACTGCATTAGTCTGATCAATGAGTCACCAATTAAAACAAAAAAACTAAATAGATAGATAGATAGATAGATAGATAGATAGATAGATAGATAGATAGATAGATAGATAGATAGATAGATAGA